AAAAAAAAAATGGCAGCCGTCTTTTTCTATTTTGAAATGTCAAAATTATCCTACTTATGAATATTGAATGCAACAAGTTAGGAGCACCATGATCTTTTCATCAAAATTTTTAATTGACTACAGATAAAACAGTCAAACATGGCTGCCAAAATGGGGCCCGTTGTCTGTGATGGTCGATTTCTTAATTATAATTTTGGAAGAAGGGCGTTCAATCAGGGGCTTGGAACCGAAATGTTAATAATGTAAAAATCGTAATGTATCAAGCAACACGACTACCGTTAGATCTTTGATTGTTCTACTTATACATCATTCAATCCCAGTAGCGGGGGGAATGTCTTTTCCTATTTTTGATTTCCTGGCCGTGATTTGTTGTACAAGATTTGAGATTGTAATTGATTTGAATTGTCTTTTGATATTATCTCTGCACTTATTATACAAATTGAGGAACAAACACACGCAGGACTATACAACAAAACAGTGTCTTTTTACGTTATATGGAATCGAGAACATTAGCCTGATGATGAGTATGAAGATAAGGTCGAATGAGGCTCAATGGAGGTGGCAAGGAGGTGGGCTTTCATTGTATTGTTTCATTTTTTTATAAGAAAAAAATAAAATGCCCATCCACCTCACATTAGACCAATGAGCCTAAAAACACCCAGTAATTTCTCAACAAATGGCAAAGCCCAGTACAAACAACTGACTAAGTTGGCCCAAACCACCAGGCCCAAATGTCACACGCCTTAGGCTGCCACCTTCGACAAGTTCATCAGCAGCCTCTTGCTTTTTACACTGGGTGGTTTGGTTTAGGCCAACTTGTCATTGAGAGGAAGAAGTCGGCACTAGCAAGAGAAGTGGAAGTGTGCAGCTACAGTGCATCAGAGGAATGGACTTTCAAAATGGGAGTTATGGAGTCGGGAGGTTGATGACGGTTCTGAATTTGGGTACTAATGAATTCAATGGATTGGATTGTATGAATTCACAATGGCATCAAAGTAATTCAATCCCAGCACCAGTCAGAAGAAGAGAAAATGGTAAAGAAAAGACTTCCTCTATCCTATCCAAGGAAGAAATCGATGCACATCACCGGGCTCTTTTATGTTTTGGTTTAACTACATTAATGACCATTTCCTAAGCAAAACGTCTTAGAGATTCATAGTCAGCCCAAGAAGATTTTGCTAGATCAATTTCAGTGTATGCATGTAAAAGTAAATAACCATATATAGAGATTAAACTCTCAAAAACTTCATGCCTAACACAGTTTTCCTCCAGTAATGTTAGCATTAGGCTGAAAATTTAGCACTGTGTACTTGCACATAAGCTCAATTATATGCGTGTCTAAGGCTATCAAATTCAGAGGAAAATGAACTCGCATAATAATTTTCAACGAAAATATCTACCGTGAACTCAAAAAAATTTAAATGCACACAGTTACTAAATCCAGTGGTAATGAACTCACGATGTACTCAAATGAATGAAATTTATTGACCATGACTATAATTGTATGTGTGCATCTTATAATGCTATGAAATCCAGTATAAATGAACTGATGATGATTACTGAGCATGAACTTAATTGTACAAGTGTGATAATGAACTAGTGTTTATTTATGTGAGAACACTTCTGCAGAATGCAGATGATCTTTCTGCTGTCAGTACAAATATTAATGAAAATCAACAAAGTTTCGCCATAGAAAAGTAATTTACTGCAACAAAAATCAGACGATAGCAAGAAACATTAGCAGCTAAAATTCAGAATTTAGCAATCAATGCGCAAACCATAGGTTATAACCCACACAGATATATACTATATGCAAGAAATTTAGCAAATTTCAATATAGCTATTGAAAAGAACGAATCCTAAAAAGAAGAATTAAAGAAACCCATTTGGAGGAAGTTTCGAAATATAAAAAAGTGCAAAATCATTTCACAACCACGACAGAAACGAATAAAATTCTAATCGGAGACAGCATTTCAATTGAATATGAAGATGATACCAGATAAGTTTCTCAGCATAAACAGTTCTGAAAAGAGTAACTTGGAAATAAACATCAACTTCAATGCAGAGTCATTTCTCGAATATAACAAAACAAAAATCCCTCTTTTTAAAGCACTGCTACTAGATCCAAATTAAAATTACAGAATGTCCTCAAAACCTGAGCTTGGTGAAGAACCAGCGGTTTTTCCCAGTCTTGAACCGCTCCTCGAACCGTGCCTTGGCTTCCTTAGCGGCAGTCACCTTCTTGTCTCTGGACTGGAGGGATTCGATAGATACTATGTCCTTGAGGTCCACGTCGAGGGTGTAACGAGNNCGTCGAGGGTGTAACGAGTCGGCATGATGTGGTTGTAGTTCACCAGCTTGATAAAGCACTTGACGCGTGATTTCTTAGCCTGCTTCTTGGCAGAGTCCTTGCGGATAACCTTGCGCGGGTACTTGGCTAGACCGGCCACCAGGCAGTGTCCGTAAGGGCGGTCGCGGGTACCATCGTCGAAGTTGCGAATGATCACCGCCTTCCTGCCGGCGTACCTCCCCTGGAGGATGATCACCGCCTTGTTCGGTTTCAGAAACTTCACCATTGCCGCCGAGATTTGGTCCTTCCTCTCTCTCTCTCTCTCTCTCTCTCTCTGCTCCCTTTGTTCTAAGGCTGCGGAGTAAAACCCTAGATCCAATATAAAAAGAGGGCCGTGATGGATTGAAGCCCGTGCTCTGAAAAATAGCCTTGGGCTTCATATTAGGCTTGAAGTTGGGCTTGATATGGTGAGGATATAGATTGGGAAAAATTCATGGATCACGTATTATCTAGGGAAGTCTACATAAATCCTGTTTTTACTCATACACATTTCAAAATTAAGGTTTAGATGTTTTAAATTTCAAAAATCAAGTTTTTATTTAAATTTATTTATGAA